AAGTGTTTTGCATTGAAATTTTTTTCAACACTGTGTCAACTTTGGGAGAAGGAGCCTGAACCCCCGAGACCGCCCCGGGGGGGCGTGGCTGGTGGGGGCATTCTGGGAGTTGAAGTCCAATTCTCTTAAAGTTGCCAAGGTTGAGAAACACTGGCCTATAGATACACATATAGAAGTTTCCCAGTCTACCTTACAGCCCTGGGATATCCTCGTGGTCTCCCATCCTAGAACGAAGCCGCTCTGATGCTGTTGAACTTTTCCAAGATCGTTGCCAACAAGCCGGCTTCTCGCATCTGCTGTGACTCTGTCCCCCAACGTTCACTTTCCGATGGTTTGTTGAAAAGCCCTATTAAGAAACCGAAATCCGAGGGAGGTGGGACTGGCGTACGGAAGGCGATCGGCACAGCCTGTTGCAAAAGTCAGCGTGAGCTTCCTTATTTTGGCTTCGTTTTAGTGAATTTGTTGGCTGGGGGACTGATTGGGATCGAGCTATTCCGCAGCCCGCTCGGATGGCGTTTGCTGCCAGAGTCCCGAAGTGCTGTTAAATAAATAGCGTGATTTTAGCATATTTTAATTCATATTTATCTATTTTAATTAAAGAAATAGTGTAATTTTTAGCCTATTTTAATTCATTCATATTTATCTATTTTAATTAAATAAAGTGTGATTTTAGCCTATTTTAATTCATTCATATTTATCTATTTTAATTAAATAAATAGTGTGATTTTAGCCTATTTTAATTAATTAATTGATTAATATTTATCTATTTTAATTCATGTTTATTCTGTGTTTGCAGTAAACCACCCAGGGTCACCCCACAGGGAGGTGGGTGGCGACAAATTTGAAATATAAATAAATAAATAAAAGTTTCCCGTGTGGGCAGGGAGTTTCAGGCCTATGGAAGCCACAGAAAAGGGGTTGCAGAGTCTGTGAGATGAGTCTGTGTATATTGTAGAATCTTTGCATGTGGTGTCGCATCCCTGCAGCGGTGGGATTTAAGCGTTTTTAAATCAAGGCTTTAAGTGTTTTTTTCTATGGACCGGGTGGTGTTTGAAGATTAAGGTTAATCTTCTATGGACCGGGTGGTGTTTGAAGATTAAGGTTCCCCAACAGGCATGATGGCTTGGTAAAGATGGAGAGCACTTAGCACATCTGGTACTTAGCACATCTGGAGAACATCAGGCTGGGAGTTAACGTAGCCAAAGAAGACATGAGCTGCAAATAGGATGCCTCGGTGCAAACATCTTCTTTCCAATGAACTCCCTCTTACGCTGGGTTCCCACAGCCAGGTCTAGTAGCTAGATATGTACAATTTGCGAAACCCGATTAGTTCTAACCTTCGTTGGGGGGGTTGTAGCCAGGTTGGGGGACTCCGACCCATTGGATTAGCTCATCAATCGGTATGATGGGATGAACCCACATAGTGAGTTAATCCTGAGATTATATCACTCTTAAGTGAGATGCAAATGCAGCCTCGGTCTTCCAATCTGCACAATGGGATGAATAATAATGGAGAATATCATTTTTGGGGGCAGCATAACCATTTTTGGAATAGTATCCAGGACCTGCCGATTTTTCTTTCATTTTTTAAATATTATGTTTCTCTCTGCAATTCTTGAAAGTTCACCCAGCATTGGGTGGGGAATTCTGGGAGTTGAAGTCCATGACTGCTGGCTGGGGAATTCTGGGAGTTGAAGTCTACACATCTTAAAGTTGCCACGGTTGAAAAACACTGTTCTAGAGGCTTGTAGCTTAACAGCCCTGGGATCTCCTGGTGGTCTCCCTTCCAAGCATTTACAAGGTCCAGCCTTGCTTAGCTTCTGAACCCAAATAAGGTCTGCCAGATGCTTCCCACCCACCCAGCCCGCCAATCACACTTGCTAGTTTTTATTTAGCACAAAAACATGTAGGTTGTCCTGGGTTTTTGGATGTTTTGTGTCCAAAATGTCTCACTAAAAGTATCGGCAATACAACCGTGAGACTGGGCTGAAGCTGCCATAACCTAAAGATGAAGCATAGAAGACAAAAGGCCGGGACTCTTGTCTGAAAGATTTCTTGGGGAGGTAGATAAGAAGGAAGCAAGTCGTTAAGCAAACAAAGGACCTGAATCAGACAAAGGAAGTTGGACTTGAGCACGTGGAAACCCTCACCCCAATCCCATCACTTGTACATCAACCAAGGAAGGACTTTTGGGGATAAAAGGGGTCCCAAAGCCCACCACTCTGAGTCCGTGGAGTCCTTGGGGTTCTCTGAGCTTGGTTCTTTTCTTGCAAACGTTTCATTACCCGGCTAGGTGACATCTTCAGTGTTCATGTTCAGATGTGACCTAGCCGGGTAATGAAACATCTCCAAGAAAACAGCCATGCTCAGAGAACTCCAGGGACTCCACAGTTCAACCCTGAGCTACACAGATTCACCTCTTCTGAGTCTTCTGAGTCACCTCTGGATCCAGACTTGGCGGCTTCCGTCCCTCTAGCTAGGGCCTGGCAGCCTAGTTGGGAAGGACGTGGGTAAGTGTGGATGAGCGTGTGTGTGTGTGTGTGTGTGTGTGTGTGAGAAAGAGCAAATGTACCTTGCAACCAGTAAAGTTTTGCCGTTACTTCAAATTCACTGGGTCTCCGTGTATGACAAAGAACCTCTTATGCCTCAGTGTTCGGTTGGAAGTGATTTGTGTGTGACCCTGATTATTTCCTGGCTGTGGACCAGGGCTGTGGGTCTGTCTGCTCCAGCCGCACCGATCCGGAAAACCCAGGTAGAAAACCCAGGTAGAAAACATATGATTGTACCCCCACTCCCTTCAGCAATATTATCATTAAATTTGCAGATGATACAACAGTGGTGGGGCTTATCTCCGAAGGAGATGAGTCTGCCTACCGGGATGAGGTGGACCGGCTGCTTTCGTGGTGCGGAGACAGTAATTTGACCTTTAATATCAATAGGACCAAGGAGCTTATAGTGGACAATAGGAGGAACAGATTAGATGTCCAGCCCCTGGTTATCAGTGGAGACCGAGTGGAGCGGGTGGCCAGTTTTACGTTTCTGGGCGTCACCATAAAGGAGGACCTGACCTGGGGCGCTCATGTTGCAGCCCTGGTGAAGAGGGCCCAGCAGAGATGATACCACCTGAGACTTCTCAGGAAGCAACAACTGAATGGAAAACTGCTGGTGACCTTCTACCGCTGTACCATTGAGAGCATTTTGACCTCCTGCGCCTGTGCATGGCTTGCTAGCTGCACAGCGGCAGATAGGAAAGCGCTCCAGAGGGTTCCCACCACTGCCCAGAGGATCACTGGCTGCCCTCTCCCCTCTTTTGAAGGACTTTATAGTGCCCGCTGCCTCAAGGAGGCTCAAAACGTTCTTAAGGATCCATCCCACCCGGGACATCCTTTTTCTGAACTATGACCATCTGGCAGACGGTGCAGGATAATGAAAACAAGGACCGATAAGCTGAAGAATAGCTTCTATCTTAGAACGGCAACTATACTGAATTCTGTCGTATAGTGCAGTATTAATGCAGCATCAGGGGTTGTGCAATATGAAATGTGAAG